AATAGTCGAAATTGGTTCTCACGCCAGTTCAGTGCGCTGTGACCCGTTCCATAATGATTTCTATGCACATTTAACACTCTGGAATGTACACACAATACAAGTTACGTTGAATACAACTCACCCCAGATCTCCCCACGGGTATCCACTAGGTATAGTCTGTGTTTGATCTGGCCATGCACTCAGATCTACAACAACACCTCGACATTCTTTGATCCCTCGACTTCTAATCGCTTTCAACCAGCGTTCCATTATCACTTCGCCTTTCGTCTCATTCCAGCGCCAACTTCCTAAACTTGGATCACCACTTCCTATATACATACACACATACATACATGCTTAGAAAAAGCACCATTTCCAGTAAAGGACGGCCGCATACTAACCGACAATATAGATATAACCATTGAGAATGCCAAACGAATTGATATTGCCAGAATATTGTAATATAGTTTTGTAGCGATAATCTGTCCCTAGATAATGTAGAGCAGCAGCACCGGTCACAGTCTTCAGCGTCGATGCAGGTGCGAGACCGAGGTTTTCATTATGAGAGAATATAATGTTGCCAGTAGAATTATCAAGAATAGTGAGTGAAAATGTGGCGTACGATAGTTGAGGGTCTTGCATGAAACGACTCCATGCTGTAGAGAAGTTCGTATTGATAGCAGCATACGTATGACATTGAATCGACAGAAAACTGAAGAGAATTAAAACAATCCTCTGCAGTTAGAGAAAATCCTCGTCTATGTATAGTTCAATACAGAAAATATTAATTTCTTACCATTCCACAGTGTCTTTTCGGTTTTCAAGTAGGTAGTTCGGTATTTGAAAGAAAAAAAACTTTTATATATTTTTTTAAAGTATGCGTAGAAGATAAAGATTGATGACAAGAAACTCGTGGATTATATGAAATTGAATAAATATCACCTGGTCGTCTGAGACATAAAGAGAGGCAAATAATGCGTTTTTCATTCGAGTCTGTCATTTTCTTCTACACTTTATTGAATATCTCCACCCTAGAAATCTTCTGCCATGAGGGTCGAAAGTCGCATACGTATTTGTACATTCTATTCAGTTGAACAAGTATAAGTATTATAAAAAAAAGAGATAAATAGACTACAAATTAATGGGCTTTTAATAAATTTATTATTAATAACATAAATCATTATATAAAAAAGCAGAAATAAAATATAAAACAGCATGACCTCTACAAATAGATCTCTTATCACACGAAGAATACTGTACCAGTGCAAAACTCCTACTATATCCATTCATTCATATAGCATTTAATAGAGTATACTAACAAGGGAAGGTCACCAACTTTAAAATCGATTTTAAGACAGAATTTAGTGCTCTGAAAGTAATCGACCATGATGAATCCGAATATCGTGGTCGTTACGGCTAATACTACTCTGAAGACCGGGTTTTAGAAAGCCAGGTTCTCAGAAAATCTGTGTATTTTTTAATGTTCTTTTTTTTTAGCTCAGTTTGTAGAGCACATCGAATTATCTGCAGAAAAATGATTGTTTCTATTTCGGATTGGTTTTTTTATAAGACATATAGCCATACAAATCCATATGGGTGATGTACATCTTAGCATTTTTATATAAAGACACAACAGGTTATTTAGTTTTCCTGGAGTGTGCTCTTGTAAGCAAGCAGTGCTTGCTGATTCATGGACAATTCGATGTACTCTGCAAACTGAGCTAATAAAAAAAAGATCATTAAAAAATACCTAGATTTTCTGAATACCTGGCTTTCCAAAACCCGGTCCCCAGAGTAGGATTAGCAGTAACAACCACGATATTCGAATTTAGCATGTTCGATTACCTCCAGAGCACTAAATTCTGACTCGAAAGCGATTTAAAAGTTGGTGACCTTTCCTCGTAAGAGAGATAAAATCTACGTATGTTTGCTCATCAATCTCTGTTCGAGTAGTAGCAGGTGTTCTTTGACCACATGTATTAAAAAATAGGAACATAATAGAAAAATTATATGTCATCAGATAGACTACACAATCAGAAAAAGACGATATAACCAATCGTTGTAGAAAATTCGATACAAGCAGTAATTTCCTTGTAGTCATATCGCATGCATTTGATTAAAATCTAAATACCTGGTTATGTCTTCTAGGTCGAATTGTGTAGCGCTATTCATGATCATATCTCATAAATTTTATTGGAAAAACATCTACTCTACAACTCGAAGTGAGATTAATAAGCAATAATGTTTGTAGATTCTCTCTAACTTACTACAGTCTACTAAACGCCTCATAAATGTAGTTGGAATGTTACATTTGTTTAGGACTTTGGGTTAGTTTTGATGCTGATTTTACTTTTAGTATCATACAGAGAATCCGGAGCATTTTGAGCATATGTGTATGATTGAAGGCCTGGTCGATGTTGTCTTTGAGCATAAATAACTTCGCGAAAGAAACGAAATACGTTGGAATCTGTATGACCAACTGTGAAGGCGGAATGTTCAATTAAAAATCGCATACTAACTAGAAATTGTTCGAAACCAATACGCTGAAATGGATCAAAGCATGCCTGCGGTGCAAGAACATTGTAAAGAATATCTCTTCCACGTAAATGTTCTCGCGCATACGATTCATCCGTACCCTTCGAATTCGGATTTGCATAATCTTGAAGTGCCTGCATGACAGATGTATCGTCGGTCATAACAAAAATATATTGAAATTTTATCTTTCGCTGCTTTTCTTCGTCGACTATTCCTTTGACATATAACGAAAGATTACGCCAATGCTGATGCTTCGCCCAGAAAGAATCTTCATTGGATTTATCTCCCCGGCGAATATATAAACCAGCAAGTCGGTCGAATATATTTGTACCAGCTGGAACCGAATGTTTATCTTGGAGATAGCCTAACCAATGCTGGGTTAATACTCGCATGCCATATTCAATGCGCGGTGCGTTTTGTGAGCCAAAAAATAAAACAAACATGTAACGAAGAAATGACCCGAAAACGTGATCTTGCCAAGTTAAGTTATAATTTTTATTTGAAACTAAAAGATCAGAAGAGAAGGCATCAGGTTTATTTGTGTTGATCCATTCGCCAAGTGGAACATTTTTTGCATTGTTCGGTGCGTAAATATGCTCATTAGAATGATCGATAAGAACTTTCAGAGGTGAGTCATAAGTAACTGATGTCTTCTTGCGATCGAACAACCATTTTCGTATGGGTACATGATGGTAATCCATTTTCCAAAATTCGCTCGACCTTAGAGGGCGGTTCTCTTTATTATTTCTATACTCAAATAGTTTACTGGTGACTGCAATTTCAATCTTATTCGAATCGGATTCAATAAGGGTTTTCATAGTCTTCAATTCCGGATCTTGTTCGAAAGCTGTGCAAATCGAAGATGGAAGAAAATAACGTTTTACACCTTCGCCTAAGAAATCATCTTTTTCGCCACGATCGCCACTAAAACGAGTTCCGCTAAGTACAGCAATACGCGGACTGTACAATGTTTGACCAAATTGTGCAATGAAACAGAGAACTCTACTGAAGAATCCCGACCAATGTTGATGTAGAATAAAGATCGATTGCGCGCGGCATATCTTTAGAATTTCTTGTTTACTCACCAATCCACTTTGAATTTCATCCAGATGTGGAAACTGTTTTTCCGAAAGGTATTTGAGCATTTCGATCTCAGCAATTTTATTCCATCGAACATCACCTTGTTCATCAAGCCACAGGATAGGAGTAAGTGATTGACGAAATTCGCTTTCATTATATGTTATCATTTCACTTGTATATTCACGTTGCGATGGTTGTTTACTCAGCTCTGTCGGGAACAGTCTATAGCAAACGAATTATTTGCAAAAAACCTATCTCGTTTCAGTCACTTACCTAACTGGTAGACTTTGTATTTGAACTAATTCATTATACATGGGTGTATCTTTAAAAACCAATGCTGAAGTTTGTACGCGTTCATTTTGTTGGAGTGGTAAAGTCGGGTTTGAATTGTCAGCATGTTTTTCAAATTTACTTGCCGACTGATATCGCATGATTAGATACAATATGACTATTGTACTACATACGATTAAGAACATTCGAGTAGCAGAAAAACGAACCAACATGCTTCTAACTGGTAATATTTTTCCTCGAAAGAAGAGAAAAAGAAATATTTAATTCAATTTTCTTACCTATTCTGTTGAATAAAGCGTAGGTTAGAATAAAAAGAAAAAAACGACAATTTCTTTCTCTCCGCCTTCAATACCGCCTAGTGAACAGATAGTTGCAACTGAAAAACAAAAAAGCTAAAGTAAACATGGCAACGTTGAAGTACATTGGGGTCCCTTTGCGTAGCAGCCTGCGAAGTTCTTCTGACAACATCGATGACGCCTGTTCTGATGACGAATTTTGTTTGATTATTAACTGTTAACTCACAATTTTTTACATTGAAAATCAAGCAAATAACAAAATACAAAGAATTTTTCTTTTATTGCGTTTCTATTTGATAATTACGGGAAGCAACGCGATTTTTTTCTCCTTGTTCCTTTTTAATTTATGCGAGGAAGTAGTGTGGAATAGAAAATTTTTCAGAATGACTTGAACTACAAGGATGTTACGTAGCGCGCCGTAGGTGCAATCTGACCATTGTCAAAATGGTATCGGACACAAAGAATTGACAAACATACATGATGTTTGCACACAAACAATCCATGTACACTCCAGACAGTTTCATTGCATCAAGTGTAACTCAACTCTTATGTTTCAATTCCGCATTTTTATTAAACAGAAGAAGGAAAAGAAAAGTTGGCCAAAACGATGTTTTGACTTCATATTCATCGAATTTCAGTTGATGTTCGCTTAACAAGATAAATGATTAGTTTACTTCGGATGATAGGTTCTTCTTTTATATAGTACACACCATGAAATTAACGAAAGAAACAGAATCTAATGTAAGACATAAACACGCATGCATACAAGAAATGAAAAATCTGACAAATAGATAGATAGAAAACGAAACGAAGATCAATCTACTGCTCATAAACAAATACTTCACAAAGAACAGCAGTAAATAGTTTATTCCATCGATCAGTGACACCATCAGCTTCGATATAAACAAACCGACCACGTAATGAACGTTCACATTGAAAGTGAAGACGAGATGACGAAGTCAACGCTTGATCAGTACGAGTGATAAATGAACATAAATTAGCAGTCTTGAAACGATATCGACGTGGACGATAATCTACATAAACATTGTATCGCTCTAAGTTTGCCAGATAGTCACGATAAATTGATGTTGACATGGAAGAATTAGTGGCTAAAATTATATATTGACAAAATATTATTTGCTTTAGAAGAATGCGTATGTTTTTTTGTGTTCAATACCTTTATTATTTGCATGCCATGTTCGTAACATGACACCAGCAATATTTGTAATACGACCTAAATCGACCATCCAAACAGGTTTTCGAACAAAATAATTGTCAATCGTTGCACATTTCGACCAATCTAACGATTCTTCTAAACCGTCGACGGCTAGTGATGCATCACCATTGGTTTCTCTTGGACTGCGGTATTTCAATTCGCCCACTCCACTTGGTTGATGCTGACGATTTCGATCGTTTGTCCAGGTTTGCTTTTTATATGCCATATTTTCCACTTTGAAAGAAAAAGTAGAAGCGAGTTTCTTTGCTATCACACAAGATCAAGGAAAAGGTGCGCTTACCACATTGAGCTTCACTGTTTACACGAAAGTAACCAGGAAAACAGGTACCTGAAATGAAAACGCGAGTTTCGTAATTAGTTCTTGTATAGGTAATAACAAGCATACCTTGGTGTGGACATCCTAAAATAGCTGCTCGCATGCTAACATGATTATGCCATTCTGTTGGATGTAACCGAACGTATCGAGCAAAGAATGGTTCATTAAGAAAATGAATACGTTCACTATCACGATCATTATTCGCCGCAAATTCCTAGATAAACAAGTTTCGTTTCATCTAGCCTTGAATCAATCGAGAAACAATCAAACCTTGGGTTCAACTTGCGATTTATCTTTATAATAGAGCCATAGGCGGCTGTCATTCGAAAACGAAACTTTATATTTTGTCACCCATTGCTCTTGACTGGTATCCCCACGACCTTTAGTTATCAGTGATGTGACGGTTGATGGATGGCCCAAATCGAATTCGAGCCATTGGTCGTGTTCTAAAAGTAGTTTATTACAACTATTCTTGTTTGATTTCATCCAATACTAACTGTATCGTTTCCTAGAACACCAGCCTTTATTACTCATCAAGTAACCATCCTCTGGTTGACATGATGCACGTCGACGATACGGCCATGATGTTGATGCACTGATCTTTCCATATGGTGGTAAACCCAGATGTTGTTTACATTCTACATCATTCAAAGAAAAGGAGAAATTATGAACAACCCTATCACACAAAAGAGATTAGTGATCCGTACCTTGACAGCCCACGATTTCAACACGCAGGGATGGATGTGAGTACCATTGAATAGGATGAAATTTGATGAATCGAGCAACAATAGGTTCGTCGAAATAGTTGTGACGAACCGCATATGAATCAGTATTAGCAGCAAATATCTAATTTAAAGAACACAGAAGATTTACAAGGATGCGAGGTGACATTTCGTTCAAAGTCAACTAAATCAAGGACAGTGCATCTTAACCATCTGTGCCTTTCAGTCGTAAGACAAAGAGATACGAAGAAAATGTTGGACATAAAATTTCACGCATTTTAGTAACCGCTGGTTTTTATGTGCAATACGATTATTTCCACTTTTTTTCTTCATAGATAAATGACAACGACAGATAACTATGATGTTCGAATATTAGTTTATAATGGTGATTTTTTTTCTCGCCTATCGAAGGTCTTCCCTCACTCCAAGAATGAAAGAAACACCACAGCTAGATGAACAATCGAACAACTATCCTACCTTTTGATTTCCATATCGATCTACTAGATATTGCCATCGATAAGCATCGGTACTGTACGAGACCATAAACGATATAACATATTCCTCTTTGTTCGCTCGGCCTTGAGTTAATACGCCTGATATCTATGAACAAAAAATATCTTTATAGTTATAATCGACAAATTCATCCTAAAATGTTCGATATACTTTCGCAGCAATACCCAAATCGATTTGTAACCATTCGGAATCTGACTTATGTCTTGCACACCAAGCACGATCTACAGATTGATATAAACGAGCGTTTTTCTCATGACAGTCAGGATCCCACAATGTCGACGATGCTGTGATTTGCCAATCGCGAATTTCGCCACTGATCATGCCCAATGGTCCATTACATACTAAAATTCAAAGCCGAATAAACACCAAATCTAATATATAACCATGTCACCTACCTTGAGTACTAGCACTGATCGAATGAATCAATGATATGAAATAATAAAAGCTTAGCCAGAACATTTTCAGTCTTGAACAGTATTGAAAATATTTAAACATCTAAATAAACCAATGAAGACAAACAATAACTGCTGACTAGACTCATTTTGTAATTACAGTCAACATACGACTGGCATAGAAAATAAACTTAAAGAAAGGTAGAGAGAGACACTGTAATTAGACACAAGGCGTGTCCGATTTCGTTAGAGAAAATAGTGGCATACTGATCAATAGAACGACTATTATCATCATTGTCGAGACGTCTGACAAACGTGAACCGACTTTAGTCAATCGTTTTCTTCTTTTCTTTCTTTAAAAAAAAAAGAAGACATCTTTTCTTGTTTTCAAATATTAGAAGTATCGGTTGTCTCTTTAACAATAAACGAAGAAGAACTGCAAATGTCAGGGTCAAGGTGAATCGATCTATATTCTCGTCGTCTTCAATCTTTTCTTCTCTATTTGTCCATTCCGTCTAATGCAACATGCTGAGTGTCCGATTTCAATTCATCTTAGTACTAATATGAGCAGCAAGGTTAACAAGACGGCTTTTTCCCTTCATCACTAATCATACATTTTCGTCCGAAATTTTTATTCTTACAAAAACAAAACAAATCATCTATACTTCATTATTGACCAGAGATACATTAGCCAGAATCGATCCAAATGGACATACAATGTCCCTTGACACGATGTATCATCATGTTTCGATGATATTACGAAGAAAAGAGAAAGAAATAACATCTAATTCAATCCCAAGAAACATATACAGGTAGTAAAGTGTCATACATCTTGCTGTGCCATTATGATCAAAAGCGTATGAGAGATTGCATCATCAAATATCAATTCATAGCAGAGAGGGAGAGAACGGGACAACGATATGCATAATCATTCAAATGAATTATACTATACAAGATGCTTTTAAGGGAAGGCAAGTATACAAAAAAAAAGAAAACCGAGAAAAAATAAATGATAAATTGATTTCAAAACGAACAAAAAAAGATTTGTTCGTATATGTATCGAGAGATTTGAATAAAAGATATGTTCATGGCCTTTTTAACGAATTCGAAGCGCTTACTTTGTATTTATTATAGATGCTCGAAGGCGGGATAAAAAGACAAGTAGTTTAGTCTTGATTTTATGCAAAAAAAAACAGATTGTCATCGTAGTTCCTAATCGTCTTATATATTCGCATACAGTCTATTATAAAAAGGTCAATTTTATCTGGTATTTGTCACATATTGACCGCCTTCGGGCCTATGTCTCCTACTATCCATATGGTTCATTCGTTTTAAAAGTTAAAAGCCCGTTGACAACATCGATGATAATAGACGACAACGACAGGAGAGATCTTTTGATTAATGTAGTAAATGAAGAAATATGCGGACGGAGAGAACGACAGACAGTAGAGGGAAGAGAAGATGTATTATGTCTAATGATGATTGTTCGTGTAGAGAACGACGAGAAAGAGCGTGGTAATTATATAAAAAAAAAACGAATAATAATCATTTAGTGGCTATTTCAGAGACATACGATTTAGTTCTTCAAGGTTAATCATCGCTAAAGATTTGACTTTTATGAATCTTGGCACGTACTTACGTCATTGAATGTGCGCGTTCGTTATCAGTACAATCACCCGTCATCTGAATAGACCTGTTCATAAATTATTTTCGAATCAATGAGGAAGAACCTTGACACATATACTCTTCAACATTTTTTTATGTTCGACAGGAAAGTGTATTCGAATCTGATCGAAATGAAGAGAAAAAAATTAGATGCGACATTGATCAAGGTAGGTAGTCTCGTACGCTTTTATGTGTGATCATCTTAGCAGAAAAAGATGTGAACATAAAAATCTCAAGCTGCGCGTTGCTTTCGAGTTCAATTATCGGTTGACGAATATGTATAGAGATGGTTCAAAGAAAAGAATCAGTGAACTACACGAGATTACATTTCAGATCAAATGCAACAAAGAGAATCTTGTTCGAAAATGAGATCATTGAAACTTACCTCATCGGTGTTGTTCTAGGAGAAAATCATTCGGCTGAAACAGATTTATCGGAATAGATAGCTTCAATGACAACGATGGATAGTAATGTATAATAAACTGATGAACGTACGTGTATAGTCTCTTTTCGTATGATTTGCTATGCGAAATGAAAAAAAAGGAGAGAATGAAAGAGATGAGATTTCTTTTTTTCCTTCTTCTCTTTCCCTCCCCTTTCTCTTTCTCTAGAGAGAATATATGTTCAGTCAGTGATTTGCTTTGCCTACTCTAATATACTATGGCGTCATCGATATTCTTATGATGTTAGTGACGACTAGGTCTTCTGGAGTGAGTGGAAGTCATAGTTATGCCGATGAGAAATATCGAAAAAAGTCCTGATCACTGACAAGTCATTATCAAGCCAAGCAGAGAAAGAAAAGGAATGTTAAGTTATACGATAATATTTTGTGTAATCGATTTTCTTTTTCTCTGTCTCCTCCTTCACCACTGTGATCAATGAATCACATTGTATTTAGTTCGATCAAACTGTGTTTTCAATTCTTTTGTTTTCATGCTCAATTAAAAAGAAAACAAGACTTAAAGATATGAAAGTATTGAACAAAATAAAAATCTTTCATTATGTTACATTTACAGATAAGTACAACACTTAATGACGACAACGACAAGCGATTATTATTGTTGTTCACTTTACTATTGTGACGACATACTGTTCACTTGGTCATTCAACACGCTTAAGCGACAGAGAGAAAAGAGAAGTAAGAGACGCGTAAAAAGCTTAGACATCATTTAACGACAAACGCATATATTCATTTATTCGCGCGAAAAAAGTGCGAAAAGTGTTAACAGATTTATTTCAATCAAAAACAAAAGACGACGACGACAACGACGATGACATACATTTGAGTTGATGATCATCATTAGTATAGTAAGCATTTCTATACATCGAGATGGTCGAATAATGAAAGACGTTCGATGACTAAAGGTATTTCTCACTGAGAAGAGAAGAGTCAAAATGAATCCCCAACATTGTGTTGTTATTGTATGAAATATGACATAACCAAAGCAATCATCGGAAGAAGTCAAACTATGATGTCTACAATATATACACAAATGCGCGGACTAGCTTTTCATTTGAAACTTGAAAATCAAACCGAAATTGAGATTGAAAGAAAGACTAGGAGTAGTCATTTGACAATAGTAAATTAAACAACAAGCATTGTAAGGAGTAATGAAGAACGAAACCTAGTTGAATGAAGGAAAAATAACGAGATTGTGTCATCTATACTCATCTCTAGTACCAATTGCATAATGATATCAACCGAAAACAACTTGACCGTTTTTGACAAGTAGATTTCGTCTATGGCGGAATTTTCGAAGACAAAAAAAAGAGGATGCAACTCAATCAGGGCGATGATTAAACATGATTATTAATAATTTGTACGGTGATATGCACCGTGAAATTTTCATCGTGACAGATCATATAGGATTGACCGAATCGATTCATCAAAAAAATTTCCATGATTCGACTGACCGTGTTACGGACAAATCGAATTCGTGATCAGGTTTCAAAGAAGCTAAGTATCGATGGATGCATATATGGGTTTGAAGAGAAGAATTCGAATTTTGTGAATAGTAGCGTCATCTAGTGAACACGTTAATTCATAGGTGCGAATGGCATATATCATATTTAACTTAGAGAAAAACAAGAGGAGAAAGAAATAAAACTCAAGACAAATTTCTTCACGAGTAACTCGTTATTATCAGATGTAGATATTGTTGTATTTGTATGCGTTATTATGGTTGTTTTTTTCTATGAGATAAAAGTCTCCAGATTTCGTAAACATGTCTGCAGATCGTTCGATCAGCACGAATTCAACGTCATCCGCATCTGCTTCCGTGTCGAAAAAACGTTTGAATGAACCCATGATAGACCCATCAAATCTTTTATATAATGATCGTCAACATTATCAGATTATCTTCACGAATGATTCTCGATTTTTTGATACCAGTCTTCATTTATTCAAATCATATTGTGATCTTGGTTATATTGAATCAGATCAGAAAAAATCAAAGAAAAATCTACCGCCTTTAGCATCAAGTACCTTTAAATCACAAACAAGTGGCTTCAACAGTCGATGGCGACCGAAACCAGTTGGATTTAGTAGTAATCACGATGCCAATGGAAATACGAACGGAATCTTGAAACAACCGTTTGTACGGTATCACGGTAAATCTATTTTCATCCAACATCTGAAATAATTTAAGGAGTGAACGCGATATCTGATTTAGATTATTCGATGAGCCATCGATCTGATCCAGGCGCTTCAAAAGTTATAACTTCAAAGTTTACACGCGAGAATTCACCATTGGTTTTTTCATCACAACGTCAGTCAATGCCAGTATGGAATCAACCATCCGAAAACCACATTGATGACGACTCCGATGATCCTGATATAATCGTAACAAGATTGTGATTGTTTCTTTCTCCGTCACATCTACATTCCAATTGTCAAGTATACGAAAAATTTCCTTTTAGCTTTTCATTCCCTCTGTCTTTTCTTCGATGCCCATCAGTCTTTCGTTATCTCTCATTTGCCTTGTTTTCTTCTACACCATATACTCTATCCGAATATGTGTTATGAACAAATACATGAATTATTTCAATTTCATCTTATTATTATTCACCCTAGTTGTTCTTTTCTCGTCTGTGCTTGGGTTTTCATCAATGCATTTGTTTTTTCTTCGTTCTAATTCTCAAATGAACTCATGCGCACGTGTGTATAGTTGCTTTTCTGTCTGTTGTTTTTTTTATTACTTGTTACACACAGGAACAATTTTATGATCATAAACAAAAAAACCGATACAACTGTCTATGGTGCATCTTGTTTTCGAGATTCTTTGATAATCCGAATGTATACGAGAGAATGTATGCATGAGACATGATGTGCGGTACGGTGAGGTATTCGCTTCCATGAAAGGCAAGAGAATAATGTGGCAAAATGTTTTTTTTTTCGATAAACGATCATGTTATTCAATTCAGATGAAAACATATGTATATTTCTGACGCTTATCTATCGACACGTTGGTAGCATGTGGTATTGTAAAAGTGGGAATCTATGAAGTTGCGTTCGGATAGAAGCTGCGAATGAGAAATTATTTTAATCAATATGTATTCTTCGCCAATCCGTGATGTGATCGAATGCATAGCAAGATTAATCAATTCAAAAAGTAAAAACTTATGCATATCATTTTGATGACTGATCGGAAACTTATAACGATTTTTCTCAAAAATTTGAAATTATTCGTTGTGAATATTCCTTATTGTTGTCAGTTCGTACATTGAATTTTTCAATCGAAAATCCTTTCTTTGCTTTGTCATTTTCTGTCCGATGTTCCAATAGACACGAACAAATACGTGTTCGTGTCGTATGCGGCTTAGGACAGTCAGAAAAAGGAAGCAAACTTGAGCGATCAACTCCCTTGTTCACGATATATTCAACGAGAATGCCAGAATTATTGTATATTGCCAGGTATATGATAAACGCAAGATGAAAGTACAACGTGCGCAGTAAAGCATGATGTTAGGCAGCTGGCTGCGTACGAAGATACTCGAAAAGTAAATTTGAATAGCAAAAGAACCAGGCCTTGCCATTTTGAAAACTCCAAAGAATTTACTTAGCAAAGAGCACAGATGTGTTCATATTTCGTTTTTCCTCAAAAATCCGAACTTCTTGAATCGATTAGACTGTGCTTTGTTCATTCAAGATGATTCAGACGTCTCCTATTATATATTAGTATGAACTATGAGCCTTTTCTTGGTTTCCATACAGAAATATTTCTTTTGCTACTAGTTTGGTAGAACGAAAGCTGTAAAATACTTCTTTTATGTTTTAGATGTGTAAGAACTGAGATAAAATGGTATTGATTTTTACAAAACAAGAACGTTTTCTTTTGAGAGACCGACAGGTATACGCATGATATCGTTTGTTTCGTCAAAGCATACTTCTGACAACAAAATTTTTGGAAAACATAGAGTAACACTATTACACGTATTCAGAGATCACACGCGGATGCGTGTAACACGTTTCGATTCCTTGTCTACAATTATCTACTCACTTTCTTACGTGACTACTTCCCTCTTACATCAGTGTTTTCTGTCTTTGGCGCATGAACTATTTTGGCTTTATGAAACACACTTCTCAATCGTTGCACTTTGTACTTTTATGTTTTTTTTCTAATGATTGGAGATCAGTGATCGTCCAGTGTTGAGGTGTATACAGCTCATTGACGATCGATGAAATGCAATACGTACACTCGTATGTAAATAGAGGGACGAAAATAAATCGAACTGATAGTTTTCATGAAATTTCCTTTCATACTTTCCTCACGGACGCATAAGGCGACAAATAAGAAAACATGAGATGTTAACTGTAACATGCATGAATACCTTTCAAGTATTACTGATCACGTTTTAAAATGTCATATTGTGTTGCCTATCAAGTATTATATGGTAAAATACTTTCTCGATGGGTTAATAAATGTCAACGTTATTAGATAAAAATACGGAAAATATTGCTGCTCGAGGGCGATATAGATTTATCGACTTGTTGTATATAAATGCAAGACAGATAATGGTTTTTCATTTATTGAACTTGATTGCATATCAGCGTCCAGCATGCAGTTTGTTTACGGCTCAATCGCTCTCTTATGCGTCTGTGTCCTGACCTTCAACAGCGTTGATGCTCGCTCGATGGGAGCGTACGCTGATAATGATGAGAGCAGTGAAATGGAGAGACATGATCTATACGAAGCTCTGACTGATGCTCTTCTTGCTAGAAGCTCAAGACATTTCCTGAAGGGTGGAGCTCGCAAACGCCAAGGAGGTAGTGGTTCCGGCAGTGGCTCCGGCAGTGGTTCTGGCTATCTTAGTGGTCTTCTTGGTGGTTCTGGCAGTGGCTTCAGTAAACGTCGTCATTTTAATCCAGTTGCCAATTATAAACGCCAAAAACAATATTACCATAAACGAAATTACGACGGAGGATATAACGGTGATCTCGAAGATTAGATTGATCAAGTCTCAATATCATTCAAACAATAACATTCATTGTTCCAACGTTTTTCTATTTTTCATAATCATAGTACCCTCACCCTTTTCATTCTTTCATTTTCATTCATTATACTATTTGACATCGCGTAACAATAATCTCGCTTATCGTACATAATCTCTACTCATATAAACAGTACATTTCAATAAAAGTAAAATTAACGTCCAGAGACATCGAACAAGGATAGATTTAGATGTATATTCATTTTTAGCTTTTCAAGAGTGTATATAACTGTTGAGTGGAAAACAGTTTCTAAGCGGTGCGTCAGACGACTGCTTGACGTTTGAGTATTTGTTGACGCTTTATAAATATCATCAGTTTTGAATATAATCAGAATCTTATTCTGTGTATATGAGGAACAGATCACTATGAAACGTAAGCATCTAACGATTGTATAACGTAACATTGTTAAAATGCATTAATAGATAATTGTATAAATAATGTAGAAACGATAATACATAATGAATGTGCTGGTGTACCATCCTGATATATTGTACATATACAGTTTATGATGAAATTAAAGAAGAAAATTCGTTTAGTAATCCTTTCATATTGAAATAAATGTATGATTTATCAATCAATGGTATTAGTGATGAAAGAAATACCGTACTTTCTTCATCAGTCAAACATTTGAATCCAGTTTCATTGTGCCTATTTCGTCCCAGTCCTACATTAGCTGATATTTTGAAATGATTTTATTGTGTAATAAAATCTAGTACATCATTATCATTGTAATTAACTTTAACAAGCTGATCAGTATCATCATTAATATAAAAATTGTCTTCAAAACAATGAAAATCTGACGAGATGGTATTTGTAGATGATGTTATACCAAATAATTCGAACATAGCACCAATGCTACATAGAGACATTCGTTTACATATGTCAATTGAGAAAGTATTCGAACAAAAATCATTTCAAGGAACAAACGTGTGAAGAATAACTCGTCGATATTCAGATAGATAAGATCCAACATACTGAAGTAAAATTTCTTTTTCTTTATCTACAATGATGTTGGTTTTGAGTAAATCCATTGCTTGTGAATAGTTAACTGATATGTTTACATAAACAGCTAGCAAATACAGAATAAATTTTCCAATAAGATATAGCATACTTGAAGAAGAAAGAAGAATAATGTAACACCTTGCTAAATCTATGATGCATCTGATGAAAATACGAAGAATTGTTGTTGTGGATAATAGGCAGGAGTATATGTTTTTTTTAATAAATCCATTAACTTGTATGTGTACATTTAGATATCTGTAGAAAAATCAATGACACGATAGACAATACCATTGATAAATCAGAGAGGACTAAAAATATGATATACGATCGGTTACAGAGGTGAGCCAATTTTGTGTTATGCGGTATACATCAATACACAATTATTCAGTCAAAGTGGGACTTTGCAGGATAGAAAATTGAAAATGACTTATTTTGTTATTGAGTAGAATTATTTCTAAAGAAAAATGTCGACGCCAAACAGTGTGTTTTTGAACTTGGAAATCTTTTTTCTGTCTTGCATGTTACGTCAGATGATGAAGTTTCCAAAACATGTCATTGCAGAGGGATCGATAGTCATTTTCCAAATCACAGAAAGACATCTAAAATAATCCGATGGCTTCTCGTCTATCCGGTATAGATCCGATTGAACGTGTTACTTATCTAGACAAGTAGTACTTTATCTTAGCGTCACAATCATCCAATCTTGTGAGAACCTGCATTAGTTGCTCTCACTAAATACCATCAACTTATAGGGTTATACACACAAGTAACCACTTTGCCTGCGCCATAAAAAAATAACACCAAGAAACATTGAAAAAGCTACTTTCAACACTAATAGCCGAAGCAACAATGGCTCCGATTGCCATTATACGACTTGAAGTCTCTTATAAAGATCATCATTGTGAAAATTTTCAAAAAATAAAAGTATATTTTTCCAATGACCTTCCAAAAACGAAATCATCGAAAATTGCTTTGAGCGTCTCCTCATAGATAATCATACAAAATTCTACCAATCGAATCAGATTATGCAACTTTTCAGCGTGTGTAGAGGACTAATCAAGAGAGTATCATCCGTACATGGTATCTCATTTTTCCTTTTCATCAATAATCGAAAATACGTCATGAATATTACTCTACAATCATTGTACCTTGCACTTTTATGGTTTTTTAACGGTAGCAAATCAACAATCATCCAGTGTTGAGGTGTATACAGCTCATTGACGATCAATGAAATATAATATATACAATTTATGCATATAGAAGAAAAGTAAACAAGAACGAAAATAAATCGAACTAGTAATATTCATATAGTTTCCTTCTCAACCTTCGTTATCGATGGATGAGTTGACGAATAAGAAAAAGTGAAATATTAGACAGAGCATGCATGAATAACTTTCATATATTATTGATCACGTATTAAAATGTCATATTGTGTTGCCTATCAAGTATTATATGGTAAAATACTTGTTTCGATTGGTTAATAACCTTCAACGTTATTAGATAAAAATACCGAAAATATTGATGCGCGGGGGCGATATAGATATGTCGACTTGTTGTATATAAATGCAAGACAGATAATGGTTTTTCATTTATTGAACTTGATTGCATATCAGCGTCCAGCATGCAGTTTGTTTACGGCTCAATCGCTCTCTTATGCGTCTGTGTCCTGACCTTCAACAGCGTTGATGCTCGCTCGATGGGAGCGTACGTTGATAATGATGAGAGCAGTGAAATGGAGAGACGTGACCTATACGAAGCTCTGACTGATGCTCTTCTTGCTAGAAGCTCAAGACATTTCCTGAAGAGTGGAGCTCGCAAGCGCCAAGGAGGTAGTGGTTCCGGCAGCGGTTCTGGCGATCTTGGCAGCGGTTCTGGCAATCTTGGCAGCGGTTCTGGCAATCTTGGCAGCGGTTCTGGCAATCTTGGCAGCGGTTCCGGCGATCTTGGCAGCGGTTTCGGCGATCTTGGCAGCGGTTTCGGCGATCTTGGCAGTCTTTTTGGTGGTTATAGCAGTGGATGGGAGATGCTGGCTAGTCTTCTTGGTGGTTCTGGCAGTGGCTTCAGTAAACGTCGTCATTTTAATCCAGTTGCCAATTATAAACGCCAAAAACAATATTATCATAAACGAAATTACGACGGAGGATATAACGGTGATCTCGAAGATTAGATTGATCAAGTCTCAATATCATTCAAACAATAACATTCATTGTTCCAACGTTTTTCTATTTTTCACAATCATAGTACCCTCACCCTTTTCATTCTTTCATTTTCATTCATTATACTATTTGACATCGCGTAACAATAATCTCACTTATCGTACATAATCTCTACTCATATAAACAGTATATTTCAATAAAAGTAAAATTAGCGTCCATAGGCAAAATCATCTCTAATGCTTTGTCTTATTTGATTTCAGTTGTTTCATTCTTTCACAAACTTTCCTTCGCAGCGAAATGCGTACTTACTTGTGGATGCTCTTTTATTTCGTTCGAAGATAGAAAAAATAATTTCATATGCGCGTGACTTTAGCCTGTTCGTTTTCTGAGATATTGATTGATGATACTACATGCTATATTTATGTTTATTTTATTGATGATATGCACAACTACACTATCGAAACTACGAAAAGAATAATACACACACACGCACGCAGAAGAATTATTAAAGAATTATTACCAAGCAATGTGTTCTAACCAACAGCCAGGATTTCGTCGAATGTACAATTTTCTTAATTCGTCAATAATAAACATGAATGTGCCAAAGCCAAGTGCAGGCAAAACATAAAGTATTGGTACTCGTTCAGTTTTAAATTGATGTTGCATAAATGGCACTTGTGTAATCAAAATACAAGTTAATGTTGATGCAATAATTCCAACAATTAACCATAGATTTCGACTATGACGAGACCAAAACGGATTGTGCGTAAAAAACGATGCATAACGTGTACGTGTTGTCAATAAGTTAAAACATTGCATAATGCATAAAGCCACATAATAAATACATTGGCCTGTTTGATTGATTGTCGTTAACTGTTTTTGCTTTTCTGGCGAGAATTGTTCTTCAAAGTGATTGAATTTAAAAAATATCATTGACAATGGAATACCATTTGCTTGATACCACCAAAAGAAGCAAAAAAAGGAAGTGAAACATTCGATATTACCAATGATTATATAAGCATGAAAGAGTAGTTTTAAGTTTAATATATGTGATTTATTTCGAATCGCTGGTGGACGACGCATAATATCTTTCTCTGCTTTTTCCGATACCATTGCCAATGACATAAACACATCTAGAAGAAGAGAAAAATAGAAATCCATCGATTCGACTTATACAGTACCGTTCATCATGCAAAATATAGTTGCTTGAAAAGCCGATAATGCTAACGGAATACCGAGCCATGTGTTAAAGAAAACAGGCCAAATCTCCGACCAAGAACCTACAATACAATACAATACAACAAGAACAGTAAATCAAATATGCTTGCTCTAATGTCTTGTATAAGCTAAAGATTGCTTACCTCCTGGTAGTAAATAAATGGCCACTTTCTTCAAATTGTCGCTCAATAATCGACCTGTCTCGATGGCTTTGATGATTGATGAAAAGTTATTGTCCATCAAGACCATATCACCTGCTTCTTTTGCAATATCTGAACCAGATTGCATAGCAACACCAAGATCAGCACGTTTCAATGCTGGTGCATCATTAGTTCCATCACCTGTGACAGCAACAATTTCTCCACGTCTCTGACATTCCATAACGATGCGCAACTTATGCTCAGGTGATGTTCGTGCGAATATCAATTCTTGGTGCGACAATACCCATGTCCACATATATTCATCCACTATGTAATGAAAGATGGGTATAAAATTTTAGATAGAGAAAAGAAACTAATGTTGGCTATGAACATACTGTAAGCAATATCACTTCCTTTGACGACCATCGCATACGGAATGAGAACTTGTTTTACATCTCGTTCTGTTGTTGATTTCGGATCCGAAAAGTAGAAATTGATATATTCCCATGCACGTTTTATCCACGACGCAGGTGTTCGATTTTCTTCGTCATTAGTCAAACGTATTTTTGTTGACTTTTTCTTGCTTTCTTCCAACCGATTTACTGTTCCTAATATATGTGTTTCCAGTAAGTTTCCATTTCGAAGTAACTGCACAATTGGTCGACCACTTGGCATATCAATGCCCACTAATTGAACTGTATCAACACCATTCGTCTGATAGATTTCTGAAGTTAAAATATTCACTTGTTTGCCGATTGCAATTGATGTTGTTGGATGATCACCTGTCACCATTGCGATACGAATCTTAGCTTGTCGAGCTTTGAGAACTGCATCTGGTACTTCCTCTCTTGGTGGATCAAGCAAACAGAAAAGACCAATGAATGTATAACCATCTTTTGGTAGGCCATTGTATGGATCATCCGATGGCGCATTCGTTAACATTTGATCCAAGACATTCTTGTCAACTTGTTGTTGAAGCATGGCGATTATCCGATAACCATCTCTACCCATTTCTTCCTGACGTTGAATGATTTGTTGACGAATATCATCTGTTAACGATTTGATATCACCTGTACTTGTTTTATATGTTAAGCACTTGTCAGGTGTTAAGACAACATCAGTTGCACCTTTTAATGTGATTAAAATGTCGTTCGATTTGTTATTCAATATCGACTGATGTTTAGATGGTGACATCTGATTAGCAACAATCATAAATTTATTCGAGGAATTAAATGGTAAACAATGAACTCGACGGTAACGTTGTCGAATATGCTCAACATCAACGCTAAATTTTGTTTCGCATACATTATAGAGCGCGATGTCAGCCGCATCGCCACTCAATGTTAAATGTTGAGCATTTTCTTGCAGACGTTTTTCAGCATTATTACATAGGCATGCACCTAGAACTAAATCCCTGTGTGGCGTTGCTTTTGTACGAATTTCATCAATTTCTAATCGTCTCGTTTGCATAGAATCAGTTACATTGATGCTGTCAGCTGGTGTACCTGATCGAGAGCCTGACGCATTTGATAAATGTCGAACAAGTGTACCAAATACAGATCTCCATTCTCGTTTATCTGTTGTTACGACGGTCGTTATTGGAACTTGATATTCACCGTCAGTATCCCAAAGTAAATGTGTACAACTCATTTTATTTTGTGTCAATGTTCCAGTTTTATCTGTACAGATCATCGAAACAGAATTGAATGTTTCAATTGTTTGGAGACTTTTGACGAGAACTTGTTGAGCTGACATGTATCTCTGCGAGAAAATTAAAAACCTCGAGTTTTTCTTCGCACGTCAAAGTTCATACTACTTACGGCGACAATAACAAGAACCAATGTAACTGCTGATGGCAATCCAACAGGTAGAAATCCAACGATCATTCCAACTGAATTGATAACATTCGAATTAAATGAGATATAGTTTGGATAAACTGGATTCAACCAGACAATCCACGATATCCATATGACAATGATTGATATAACAGTACAGCAGAGAACAAATAAGATAAATCGATTTACCTCCCGATGTAAACCAGTGATTTCATCCGTATTTGACGAGCGTGTTAATTTACTGACACGGCCTACAAATTGAAACATGAAATAAGAAGAAGTACGGTAATCATTGTTGGAATCCTACCTAACACAGTTTGATCGCCTGTAGCAACGACAATGCCTTCACCTCGACCTTCAACAACTAGTGCAGAGTAGAATACCATATTCGATGTTTCTAAAAGATGCTCATTCGTTGTTTCAAGGGTACATTTAACAGGTTTCGATTCGCCAGTTAACTCTGCATTATTAACTTTAAGACTATTACACGATATGATCCGACAATCAGCAGGAACTTTATCACCAGTTTGCAACAAAATGATATCACCTGGAACTAAGCCTTCCGTAGGAATGTGTTGTTCACATCCGTTATTACGACGAACCGTGGTCAATTTTGGTAAAATCTGAGCAAATGAACGAATTATTTTAATTGACTTCATCTTTTGATAAACATTCAAAACAGCATTGGCAATAATAACAATGCCGAGAACAACACCCAAGCCTAAATTTGTTGTATCTGGATCTGGCCAGCCAAATGGTTCATAAGCGAGAAAAGCGAAGATCGCAGCAATCCATAACAATGCGTTAAAACCAGTAAATGCTTGAATGAAAAACAATCGTATATATCCCGGCTGTGGAACAGGAGCCGGCTGATTTAAACCGTATTTTGCTTGCGCTTCATGAACTTGAAGCGTTGTTAAACCAGAACGTACATTATGAAGATTCAGTTGTGAACATAATTCGTCTAACGGCATTTTGTGCGGCTGACTTAAAGATAAATCACTCACGACTGGTCGTTGTTTTTGCATGTTACTCAGTTGTATCGATATGGTATTCGATGCCATGACTGGAAAACAAAACTAAAGCAATGGACAGATTTCGTCTTGATAAATACCTGTTTCTGTTGACTTACTGCAAAATTATTAGAAGTGACCAAAAGAATGTCAATTGTCACCCGGTCAACTGGCGTGTGTATAAACTGACTTCGGTATATAAATATGCACATATATATATATATGCAGGCAGAGACTTTTTCTCTTTTCTCTCTCTCTCTCTCTCTCTCTCTCTCTCCCTCTTTGCTATTCTACGTCTCCGACATTTCAATTGTTTAAATAAACACAAAGGAAGAAAATTTACTTCTGTGTTCTCTTCGACTTTACACTAGTTCAGTTGATTTATTCACATAGTAGTGCCTTTGTACAGTATTCATTATATACAATTGTACATAGAGTTGAAGTAATGAACGATCACATTGAAACTTCAGACAGAATAAACAATTCATTTTCTCTTTGATCGTATCCAGTTCTTTATCTTATATAATAAATACAATTATTGTGATGTTGCCCGATGACCATAATCAGTACTTCAGGCTCATGAAGTAATGCACATTTACTACCAAGCACAAAAATTCATAAGAATTTTCGAATGTATTTCGCCCATTCGAGATAATATCGCATGATCCTGTACCTTAAATAAGATGATTCATCGCGATATATCGTTGACGCGAGTGTGCATCCATTGTTTCTTTCTAACGATTCTTTGTGCACCGATGCCCTTTATTTCTTCTTCGACTAAGTGTCCTGCCTGGAGGCATATAAGGTATAACGACATATATTCGGATACATTTTGCAGTTGAATTATAAATAGCTATGAACTCTAACGCTAAATTATATAGGTGTGCTCATTGTTATAGATGAACTTAACTTCTATACATTTTGATATGCGTGGTGCTAAAGGTAAAATGCTTATTGTATAGATATGTGGATGTTTTCAGTTGAATCCTGTTGGGATTAATGAGAAACTAAGAAATACACATCGTATTTCATCATAATCTAATTGATTGATTCAATATCATATGATATGATGTGGGAGTTCATTGTAGAAACAAGATATTCAGCCGAGAAATATATTCTATCGGTCAAATGCAAAGTTCATATAGTCTTAGTCATACTCTACTATTTTATAATAGATTTGTATAATGTAAATCTGCTTCAATTTCTAACTTTTAGTAATGCATATATGCATCAACAGTTCATATCTCATTGAATCGAACCAGATAAACGAACGGATAATGAATCGTTGTCGTAGAGTTGAAAAGAAAAGACAACGACATTGCGTTAGCCCAATTTGTTTTCGTATATGATTGTTACTTTAATCTCTCGGTAAACAAAACAATCTAACATAATTTACCATATTTCTACTACATAACTTTTCGATAATATACATTATTGACAAGGAGGGCGTAGCACGTTAAAAACAACCGACGATCGATCACATTTCGTTCACGAAAGGAAAAAGAGAAAAAGTGCATTTGCTTCATTTTTCTCATCTCTCAACGAACAGTGTCGTCATAACGAAGGACAATCCTACCTAGAATACAACATACTATTTTCACCATAAGATTATGAGCAAAACACAGGATTCTGCAATTGTGATGCAACAGACTGATCTGGACCATCCCCGGAACGATTCTTCAACATCTGAAAATGAACCGATGACATTTCGAGTTTACTTTCACACATTTTGGATGGATTATTTTCTGATGGCTATCATGGGTGCACTCGGTCTTGGTATTTATTTTCTTCGACCAGTGCCCAATCGTGTCTTTCCTGTTTATTTCACAAATGGTGAAATCGTGAATCCGGAATTTGGTTATCCCTATCAAAAAAATATTGTTCCGATTTGGTTAGCTGCGCTGCTCGCATTCATCGTTCCATTTCTGTTCATTATGATTATGCAAATACGTCTTCGTAATTTTAACGACGCTAATGCAGCAATCATGGGTCTTCTCTTTTCATTAATATCAGCTGCTGTCTTTCAAGTTTTTATCAAATGGCTTATCGGAGGATTACGTCCACATTTCTTCTCCGTTTGTAAACCGTATATTAATCTCTCGAGCTATGGAACTGGCACCGGATTTGATGGGATGATGTTTGATCGGTCAATCTGCACAGGAGATAGAAAACAGATCAATGATGCTCTCGAATCAATGCCATCTGGTCATTCAACAGCAGCATTCGCCGGTCTCTTATACTGTTCATTGTATCTAAATGGTAAACTGAAAATCTTCGCTAATTATCGTCCACAATATTGGAAGTTAATCGTCTTCTATGCGCCTATACTTGGCGCTGTTCTTATTGCAGCATCATTAACCATCGATCATTATCATCATTGGTACGACATTCTAGCTGGGGCAGTTATTGGAATTATGTTCGCTCTCGGATCTTATCGTTTTCAATATGCCAGCATTTGGGATTATCGATTCAATCATATTCCATTGCCACGAATGAATTCCAATGAAGGCTTTGATTATCATCTTGACCATTTGAAACATTATTTAAGTGCATCAAATAAGGGTGGATGGGCGAATGAACGTATCTACGGAGCACCATTTGATGCGTCGGGTACATTATCAATTTTAAAGTCATCCGGTTCGGTTATAACCGATGTCAGACTATAAGTTCATCTATTCGTAATATAATATTTATGAAACCTCTATTCAGATATTCAAATAGAAATAAACAGATGTATATATTATCTGGAGTACTAGATAAAGATCATCTGTATCAAGATATAATTGGATGAGGTTTTTTGTCGTGATTATCAACAAAAATTTACAATTAAAAAGGTCGACATTTATGATATAGAGAAAGAATGTTACTAATTCAACGAAACTCAACATTCTCTATTCATAGAAGATTTCTGTGAAGTTCTAATAAAAAACAGGGCATCACGTCTCTCATTTTTAATCGCAAAGTACATCTACTTTTAGTTAACGTGTATTCATGTGATAATGATCAACACTTCTTCACAGAAAATCTATATTTAGAATAATGAAAAGCATTTGAACAGAATGGAGATAAATTTATACTTAAATGTTCTATATAATGAATACGCGTTGACAGACGTCAATATTGAGTTTTGTCAGTAATCACGCCTTTAAAAAAGAAAATAAGTGTTTGTAAAAAGAAAAGATCTAATTTCTATATAAAGTTGAATAAAAAAAAGTGACTGTCATGAGCAAATTATAGGAGGAGAATGAAAGAAATATATTTTATTCTTCGTTTTCTGTTGATAATTAGAAAAACTCTCATCCTGAAACAACTTCGCTTAATTCTATTTCCATTCGATTAGATTTTCTACAATTTTAATTTAGTTTTTCTATTCTAATGTCATGACTTGATTAGTGAAAAGAAACAAATCGCATTCAGCGGGAAATTGCTCGTGTTCGTTGAACTTTAGAGCATTTATAAGAAGCGATATAATACGGTTCGATTTGCTCGTCGAATTACAGTCGTTATATGACAAATGATAATGAGAAGACAAGAAAAAGAAAGACGAAGGCAACTTCTTCTGTTTCTTTTTCCGCTAAGAACTAATTGTGGGTGGGTGCTACAATAAGAGAAGGAGGCAGAGAAAGAACGTCAACATCAAGAACAAACACGCTTTCTTCTGTCGAGTTATGTAGTCGTTGCATGCTTGTCGTTTTAAGAAACTAGTATAAAGCAGAAGAACAACGTTCATTCCTTTCTCCGTCTCTTTTCTCATCGGCCACTGCTGTGAATAAAAGCACAGATTAGATCATATTAGGCGCTTTAACTTATTAGGCGAATCCATCATGACTCCTGTCATCATATGCGTACACTCCATGCACATCTCTCTACCTGCGCGTTCAAGGTGAATTTGTAGCTGTGAGAAATTTCATTGTATTTTCATAATCGAGATCATTTTCTTTACAAATGATGATGTAAATATGATTAGGTATGCCTATGAATGATTTGACATATTTTTAAAAACTTATTATTAGATCAAAGTAGAACTAAAAGGCCTATGACACATAATTTTCATCGAAACTGAGCGGGTTTTTCTCTCCCTCTTCAATCGCATGATTGTGAATAGGAGGAAATATGGTTATCATTAATCTTTTTCTCATATATTATTCTTTGTTGCTTCCGGTGAGGTTTTTTTTTATATTCTCGATTTCACACATTGTCATATTTGGACATCTAGGATCTTCCACATCTAATTTTCATTGAGAATAGCTGTTAAGTCAATAAAAGGACTCTAAACATATCGTTTAACCTTCATAGCCATAAAGAACATACCCGTCATATTTTACTAAGGAACAAATAAGTGAAAAGATTAAAAGTCAATAGAGAAAATTGTTTTCCTTACCAGTCCTAATCATTAGTATCCTTGTCTGTCTGCGAGTTGTATGTTTTTTTGAAGATAGAGTAGCAAATTATGCGTATTTCAAATCGTCTACGGCAAGCAATCGACTTAACTGATAACGGCAATGAACAGGATGGTGAATATGATGACAAGGAAGAAGAAGAAGAAGACTATCAATCATCGGAAACGAGTTTATCACCAATCGATTATCAATCGACAACAACAATGGAAAGTTCGTATGACAAGGCTAAAGCAATCGGAGAAGAAGTTATAAAAAAAGTTCCAAGTAAGTGTTAAGAAGCCAGTCTGTCACAAGAAAAGATTAGAATAACATCGACAGTCTAATGACAGACGCAGACATTCATATTAGATGATACTATCTCTAATATATTCGAATGTCGGATTCTTCATTATCGTGAAGGCAAGATAAGAGTGTATAATTCTTCCGTAGTAAAATCTTCGATGTGAAAAAAAAAAGAAAGAAACATATTAGCAACAGGATATGATTTCTCATATAGATGTCGTCTATCTATCGAAGAAAATCGAGCTACAAAAATCTCATCGTACTAATTGACGTTTATCACTTGACAAAAACAAACGAAGTAATTCTAGATAAAGTATTTGTCATTGAAAATTAACCTCTAAATACATCTAATTGCGTGGGAATATCGCATATTCGTCATTCTGTCAAAGTCAATCTACAGATCATTAAACACATAAAACAGAACTGTACATATATACATATATACCATCTTCCCCACTTGTTATATAGAAGAATTTCTTTTCTTCTTGTGTTTCCTCTACATACATATACATCCTTTTCTGTTTGCTTTCTTTCCAATATCTTGCTCGTCTGGACATTCTTGTTTTCTCGTGACATTCTCAAGTCAAATAATGTGTGATAGTCAATACACGGCTAGAAATGACGCTATACAATAATTAATAAAAAAGCGGAAACGAAGCACATTACTCGAGTATATTGTGAGCGTTGATATACAATCATAGTAGACGAGAAGACCAGCAGCAAAAAATGAAGTCCAACTTATATGGTTTTGTTTTGTGCTGTCACAAGCTATGTTTCATGTTTTATTTTTCCGCGCAGCTGGAGAACCGTGACGAGCGAAACGCATCAATACGAAACGCGTTACTATTATTGTAGATACAGTATATGTTGGATGCTCTCTATCGTTTGGGTGCATAAAAAGTACAGGTAAAAATGTTTACATGAAATCCGAAGTTAGTCACGTCAACTCATCGACGTCCGGTAAAACGATCATTTCAAACCAGAGCGATTCGTTAGGTTATAAAAGTATGCATATTTGAAATTTTATATCTTAGTTTGAGAATAACAGCCTAGTAGTAAAATATCGATATTGTAAGAGAGAATAAGATGAATTTGTATAATTTGTTTTCTTTTATCGAATTTTAGTGTCGCCATGGATGGTTATCATTCTTGCAATCGTTGCACTCATGATATTGAGCATGTGTCTAACATGTTTTATTCGTCGTGCCTGTAAAAGGCTCTGGAAAAAGAAGGGGGTGAAGGCTGGCAAAGGTATCGACCTCGAAGCTGTAAAATCGCTTAGCTTACACAAAGAAAAGGTAGGATTCGTCAGGCATTCATTTTCAAGGTATTGTCAATACGATGAGTCGTTACCCGCTTATTGGATGTGAGCGTATAAAAACACGCGTTGTTGATGAAGATGAATATGTCGTCATTGATATAATCTCTTCTCAGGTCCAACCGGATGTTGATGATTTAATTCAAAATATGGAAGACAATGAAGGGAGTGGATACAAACGAGCTGAATTTGAAAACTTGGGCAAATTGGAGTATTCACTCGATTATGATTTTCAAAAGCAAGAGGTACGAATTGCGTCGATAAATTATTCGGATAGATATGAATGGATTTCTTTAGCTGAAAGTTGAAGTTATTCAAGCTCAGCAGTTACCAGCAATGGATTTGAGTGGAACGTCGGATCCGTATGTTAAATTGTATATTTTTCCGGATAAAAAGAAAAAATTCGAAACCAAAGTTCATCGAAAAACGCTGAATCCGATTTTTAACGAAACGTTCGTTTTCAAAGTGAGAATTTCATGAAAAACGTGCTCGAATGAAGTTTCTTTTTTTTTTCGTATAGAATTTGCCGTATGGCGAAATCGGTGGAAAGACGCTGGTTTTTGCTGTTTTTGATTTCGATCGCTTTTCTCGACATGATCAAATTGGTGAATTACAAATTCCATTAAATACAGTCGATTTAGGCAAAATAATTCGAGAGATAAAAGATTTAATTCCTCCACCCGGTGAACGAGATGCGGTACGTCGATGGACGGCTATTGCTTCTTCTTGATAAATATCTTGTGTTATCTAGGAAAACAAATTGGGTGACATTTGCTTTTCGTTACGATATGTTCCAACAGCTGGCAAGTTGACAGTGACAATTCTTGAAGCTAAGAATCTCAAAAAGATGGATATGGGTGGACTATCTGGTGAGATAAGATCAAACGAGTAATTTGAATTCAATTAACTTGTCACTTTCTCTGCTTAGATCCGTATGTTAAACTAGCAATCATGATGAATGGGAAACGTTTGAAAAAGAAGAAAACATCCATTAAAAAATGTACATTGAATCCGTATTACAACGAATCATTCACGTTTGAAGTGCCGTTCGAACAAATTCAAGTAAGTTGATCATTATCGAGCATAGAACATTAATTCAGCTCTGCTTTTTTTACTAGAAAATTCAATTATTGGTTACTGTTGTCGACTATGATCGTATTGGGACGTCTGAACCCATTGGAAAAGTTCTACTAGGCTGTAGTGCTACCGGAAGTGAATTACGTCACTGGTCGGATATGCTTGCCTCACCTCGCCGACCTATTGCCCAGTGGCATTCACTGAAAGAAGCTGAAGAAGACAAAATGTCGTGAGGTAGCCTTTTTTCAGTGAACTAAAATACATCAAAGAAAAAGTGAAGACATTCCGTATTTTATTTTATATCTCTTTCTTCATATTGTGCAATATCAGTACAATCATTGTTGTTCGTTATTGTTAAAGCCTAATCAATATTCACTTATATTGCAATTTTCTAATTGTTGTTAGACCAACGATTGTGCATGTATGTTAGCCTATGTCTGATTGTTCGTCTTTTCTATCAAAAACACTTGTTGTCCGTTCTTTTTGTCCCGAAATAACAGTTTATTAATATCGATGTGTATATAATGACATATATAAACGAAATCAGTTTATTCTTGTTAGATATGCGTGTATGTAAGCGAAAGAACAGAAAGCGATGGAATTTTGTACGAAAATAGAAGAAGCTTCATCAGGACGATTTGGTCTTAACTAAAAACTGAATGTTGTTCATAAGAGACAGTCAGATGGTGAGTACAAAGGCGTAAGAATTACGAATAACAAATTGATATGTTGATATTCTTCTTACCTGCTATCGTCCTTCAAAAAACGAATACAGTACAAAAGCATATCTCATCGATCAGTATGATAGACACATAGACATTTTCTTTAAAAAAATACATGGAAATGTACGCTCTATTCAAGTGCAGTTAATGCTGAATTTATTTTATATTTTTCGAAGGCAATGTAAATACAGTTAGGTCAGGATGACCAGATAAACTCAATTTGGAACGTTTTTAATTATATTCCTTAATGACATTTTGTCTCGTTGTTCTTATCAAAGAAAAACATCATACATCACCATTCGTAATTACAATTTGCTATCACAAACAGAAAAATGACTTATCGGCTACAACTGACTCGTTGAATATTATACATTAGTTTGAATACGTTCATTTCATAAGTTGATCTTGATTGCGCATACAAAATTCCGGAAATTTGTGTGCAGTCAAGGATGAAGAACTTGAGTCTATGCCCACATCAGTAAACATCCTTGAAAAGCAAAAAATTGATATCGTTTTAGTCTGACAAACCAATATTTGTTCAATTCTGACGACATTAGTCGCTTTTTTACAGCCTATGCTCCCACAAATACAATACCCTACTATAAGATTAATTGTTGAATCCAATCATTGATATCATGTGCGTTTCGATGTTTACCTGCGAGTGAATTTCCACTTCAGAATCAGCTGCTTAACAAACATCACAGCGAGTTGTGTACTTAAATCCATGTGCTCGATAGCGGTTAAAACCGATAAACACGATACTACTAAATAAAATCTCTGCACCTATGTCATTCTGGTTTACCTCCTTGCGTTATATGAAGATTAATAATGCTGTAATCTATCTGTAACGAATGCAGGATAAATAGTATGTCTAATACATTGAGGTTATCAATTATACTTATAAGCCGTAAGAAATCCGTAGTTTATTTTGTAATCAAGATTTTTCCATATTTTTCACGATGAAGTCGGACGTTGTCATATCGAGAAGAACGCAAAAAGTTTTCTTATGTTAAACAGTATTGTGTTTGTGGATTTACTGCAGAAGAAATCCTTATTCTTGATTTATACGAATTCAATGAGCTCCAACTCTCGTTCATTCTCTATCAAACAAACGTTATCAGCACAGTATTTTTTGAAACAATTCTAACCTTTAGACTCTATTCCATAATGTACGTACCTTCACAAAAATGAGTTGATCGGTCATGCGGATTCTCGAGTTGCGACATTCAGTCCATTCATTCTTATCTATATAGTTACTAGTTTCTTCTGAATGAACTGTCATTAACAGGGGGGTAGTAAAACTACACACGTTTCATTGGTCGGACAGCTGAACTCTAATTAGTCAACTTCAGAATAGTTTGCAAGCAAAGAATTGCGGCACATGATAAGGCTTGGAGAAGTGCACTAAAATTATCCACGAACTGGACGACTTTTGCCGATATTTCCATTAAACTAAGTCGAAGTTTTCATATGATGTTAGGCGAAGAAAACTAATTTTATCGAGAGAATTCAAGTGTTCCCTTTCCATCTCCAAAAACACTGCTCTAAATAAAAACAATTCTCAGTCTGCACAGATCTGGATGCGCCAAGTGCTTATTCCTTTCAAATTATCTGAACATAAGACTGGCAATGTATCCCAACGTAATATTTCTACGTACTCTGAATAATTCCAATACTCTATCCGTAAATACGACTGCATCTGTTGCTAATCATCGCTCGGTGAAACTCGCTATTCTCTTGCCTTGTCAAGTATTGTCACTTTTATTCTCCTTATTTATATTCATGAATGTCGTACATGGCTCATATAAACTATTTCGACCAGTCCGAAACCATTTTATTGCAATTTTATTGATAACGGGTTTCATTCAAGTATCAACAGAGTTATCCATGGTTGAAAACTATTTACATACAGGTGTTGTGCGTCCATCCACGCCCAGTTATTGTTCATTTTTCAATTGGTTTGAATTCTCATTGAATGGTATCAGTTTACATGTTAGTAAGTCACTTTTTTTATTATTAAACTTTAATCAAATGACATAATCTACTATGTTCCGTTTAGTGTTTTGGACATCGATTGAACGGCATATTCTCATATTTTTTCATGCGAGCCTTCGCACTCCGTGGAAATGTCTGCTATTTCATTATATACCGTTACTTACGAGTGTTGCGTATGCACCAAGTATTTATGGCTACTTCATTTTTATCTATGAATGCGTCAATCACTGGGATTACAATGAATTGCTTTGTACGGCACCGTGTTTCTATGAAAATAAACTTTTTGGCATTGTCACATGGTTAGCTAATATAATTATTCCTGCGTTTTCAATCGCAGCAGCGAATATAATCTTAATCGTTCGTGTGACATGTCGTTCTGCGGATTTACAAATAAATATTCGACGAATAAAAAAGAATCGTAAGATGACAATTCAATTACTCGGTATTTCTTCACTTTTTCTGATCTTTTGGTTGCCAATATCAGTGACGGGTTTGATTCAACAATTTTTCTCTCCAACTTTCTTGATCGATGTACAATTCAATGTTTTCTTTTATTTAATCTATTTTATTCAACTTTTTCTTCCATTTGTCTGTTTCGTATCTTTACCCGAACTGAAAAGCCGAATGAAGCAATACATTCGACGTCTTCAAGGACGAAACGCCATCGGTGCTATGATAACTCTACAGGTGGCTCCAACAATGCGATATTAAATTTTGTGAAATGTTGAAATCTCAAACAGTGCTGCTGCATTGTCATTTCCAATCTCATACAATCAATAAATCATTGCATAATTATGTTGGATAGTTATGAGATTTATCCTAGTTATATTCCAAGAGTTGCATGACTGTCTGTCTTTAGATTCGAATAATCAGCGAAGCCATCGATCATAGTATTACCATTCGAATTCACTGTATTATTAATATTTCTCATCAATTACCGATTGATTGTCTATTCATTGATTTACAAAAACAAATATTTCTGTACTACTGCATTCATATTCAAACAACAAGAAGATTTATTAGCAACATTTCATAAACGAAATCTTTTCGATGCTCGTTGTAGATCAGGTTTATTAGAAGATTTATTTCAAAACGAATCATTAAACAACATAAAACCGAGCGAATGTCCAAGTCTGTTTCTTGTTTTGTATTGCACCGTAATATTTATCCACGAGCAACACAATGACGACCTCGTTTTGCATTACCATCATAGCACATTAAGCCAGGACAGCATGGTGGTAAATTAGGACCACAAGTCCATATGTGTGGGAGACACATTTGTTGAAATTGTCCCGGTTGTTGTTGTTGTTGCATCGGAAAGAATGGAAACATTTGTTGTTGACGAATAATGTATTCATCATCCAAATTTCCGTGTTTCATTGTGTCTTGATGCGCTGACCGTTGTTTCGCGTACATGCTCAAAAACCGTTCATAATCATTTGTTGGTGGATTTGGATACGCAAACATCAGTGGTAAGAATAGAAGAAAAATGTATTGAACTAACTTCATTTGTTGCATTTGAATTTCTTCGATACTAAAAATAATAGTTTATATACGCGTGTAGTTTCGTTACTGGCAAGTGCCAATATAGTAGTATAATGATCCGTATACGCGTATGTGCGTAGTTTATATCTATTTATCAGCGATCGAAGATAGAGATAGAAAAAAAAGAGATTACATATAATTCCGCTTGTCATATAGTAAGAAGATCTGACTGTAGACATGTTAAAAAAAAGAGAAAGTGTTATTGTACCATGAGTGCGAAAGATAAAGTATTGTAGTACATAATCACGATGAAAATCGATGACGTCTTTCAAGTCAAACACAGAATTATGATTAGTATCGAACATAACTCGAACGCTACAATCATAATTAAATATATGAAGTTATCTAAATATCCGCGTAACTGACAGCAGAGCTGACGTGCGTTGATGTCAAAGACAAGTCAAATATTTGTATGACGCCAAAAATACTATTGGATTTAAACGGACATCAGTTTATAAATGAATACCATTTTTAAACACTCTAAGCGTGACTTGTTGAAGTTCAATAATGATCATGAAAACGCATTGTGACTATCTCTGAGTACGGGACGCGAAAGGAAAAGAGGTTTTCTCTTACACAATTTCGACTATTCATAATGTACTTATTGTATATTCTCCAAACAATTAATACTTTCCGTATGGCCTTTGATCAACTACGTTGAGAGAAAAAAATTTGCTCCTTCCGTTGTGCATATCGTAGTGACTTATCTTATTAGGGTCGCATTACATTAGAGTAGAGTAGTATACGTTCGGAACAAATGAATGAAAAATAGAACGATGTCTATTGACATTTCTGGAAGGAAATGTCAATGAGACAATAGAAAAACGTTGTTTGGCATTGAGATCTGAATCGTTGTTATTACCGAATATTCGCCATGTGATAACGAGAAGTCATTTCTATTCCATTGTTTATTGTTTTATTACAAGAAAAAAAGTCGCATATATAGAATGTCTTCTTATCTTTTTTTTTACTCATTAAAATTTCATACGAATGGTAAAAAAATGTATGTAAAAACGCAACTGTTAAGTTCATGAAAAAATAAATAATACGCAAGAGATATTAAACATGACTAAACATTAGTTCGGATAGCAAAAAGTAGAAAATAAGTTCAAGAACCACCCGCAGTTGTCGATGTACCCGCGATAGTGGATGTACCTGTAGTTGCTGACAAAATACTCGATGCATTTTCTTGTGTAATACCAAGTATATTTTCTATATCGTTGATTGCCAACTGAAAACAAGAATAACGAGCTCACTTAAAGAAAAGTCTGACAAGAAGTGCTTACCATGAAGTTACTTCTGCCTTGCATATTCGTTGTTGTTATTTCTTGGTTAATGGAATTTAGATTATAAGCAAAATTCGATAGTGTATTTTGAAGGGAATCACCGATTGCCACCATGCCGAGATTTTCATGCCGTTCACTTTCTAACAGCGCAAAAATACTACCCTGCCTTTCGCGAATGTCGAAACCAACACCATGCGCACGACACATTTGAAAAAAAACGCTCAATTGAAGAACAGGCAGGTTAGAATGGTACAATCTCGATGTCCATACAGCAAAGCGATTCTTTTCGACAATCTATTGTGAAAAACAATGAAAAATTACATCTATTGATAGTAAATAAAGATGTTTTACATGTTGTTCAGGTGCGTCCGTTTGCCAATTTCTCATGCGTTGTTTCACTTGTTTCACTTTGACGGTAAACGAATGTGTTTGAGAATCAAAATGACCAGTTGTAATAAAACGCGTCATTCGGTACAGTGCTAAATGTTCTGAATAACCAATCGATAAATCAACAGCCCAGACATGCTGCTTATCAGTTTTCGAATCGATAAATGTGACGAAATCAACATCAACGTAGCCGAAGATTTGCTTTTGTTTGCATTGTTCAGCAATCTGATGACAATATTGATTCAAATCCGTAGGTTCGACGCTCGATTGAGGGAATGACAAACCCCAACAAGAAAACTGAGATTCAGCATGTAGATGATCACCAGAATAAATAATTGAATGATGACCATTTGGTTCAATTGATAAACCAACAGTTATCGATGTCACAGAGTCCGATGGTGGATACGCTTCGATGATTCCACCTTGAGCGAAGAAGACTTTCGAATACGTTTGCCAACCGTTATATAAACTCTTATTGATACAGACAGTATGTTTTTCAAGTGCAGCAGGTAATTCAGAAAGAACTTTGACGTAAGATTGTTCCTAAAAGACGAGCATAACTAATACATTTATCAGTCTTCTCGCATCTTACGTGCGCCCATCGCATTGACCATTTATCACCGAATCGCGCTGCTTCTTTTAGAGTGCTTTTATAGCAGGGAAGATGCTTGACAACATCACAATAGGCAATACCCAATCCATCGAAATCGTCATCGATTTTGAATACCCACCGTTGAATGTCCAAATGTTCGATGATTAATTGTGACAAAGCTTCGAAGAAATGGTTCTCTTTGTATATGTCAAATTCACCAAATGGCATAGGAACTTGGCTTGCCTCAAAGATTCGTTTGGAACCTGATTTTGTAGAAAATAAATCTGAAAATTCTGGCTCACAACCTAAACAATGAGGTAAACATGATCAATCAAGACAGAACAAGTTCGAACAAACCAAATATTGGAATATTTAGAAATTCAGCTATATAAAGATCATCGCAATGTGAAACACCAGTCACCATATATGCTTCACGACCTTTGATTAAATTTCTAATCCTAATATATAAAGACGATCATGTAAAAAAGTTTTTTTATTGAAATCAAGTCATTTACCTTTTCAGCGCCTTTGGACTGTATTTAAGTAATGTCGCCAAACACATATTATGGGTCTGAAATAGTAGAAATTAGAAAAAGAAGATTTCGAATATGCTATTAGCTAATCGTGTACATACGGGAAAACTATGTAATGCTTCAGGCACAACAATCATATATCGATCACAAATGTAGTCAGCTGCTGTCGGAGGTACTATTTGTTCGCTATCCTGTTGGATAGTGCTTCGTAAATTGATCTAATCGAAGAAAAACAATCAAGTGATCTTTCTTTTTTTATCGAGTTCTCTTACCAATTTATTATAATATTGTAGAAACTCTTCATTGATAGGCATAGGTGAGACGTAAATAACATCAACATTGGGATCATCTAATTCGCATAAGCGTCCTATTTGATGATTTTCTCGTATGGGTAATGTATTTAGTCTTCGTCGAGCACGTTGCGATATGCCTAACGAAGGTATATGAACAATCACACGACGATTACTAGAGATTGCTGCCCAACGTTGCCGTAGATCATTTTGTTTTGCTTTAAAGAACTCAATTTGACGTTGACGACTGAGCTTCAACTGGTACCGTGCTTTTGCTAGTTTGACAGTCATTAACCAAGAAAGAGCAATAACGCCCGCTGCCCATTTACGTTTTCGCAAACGAATGTAAGCTCGACGGTCACGAAAACGACGCCAATACGCTTGAATGGCGATCGCTGCACGTTCTTTTCCGCCACTACCGACGAATCGACGTCCCTAAAGAAGCGTTTATATTGAAACAAGATTTCAAAACAGTGAAAATCAACGTGAACTCACTATTCGTTTTACTAATTCTTCAACTTCTTCTCGATTGAGAACAGCGCTGAGAAGTTCATCAAGTGTAGGTTTATGTTCCAGCTCAACGGTTTGCGCTAATTCGACAACTCTAATCAAAACTAGATTGACTGTCGAATATGGAGATTAATATCTTTTACCTTTCTCCGCTGATAAACGCAACTGGTATAGCATAGTCGTACATGAGTTTTTCTAACATTCGAAATACAGTCACAATGTTCCCCCACGTTAAACAATGAAGTTGTCGAAATCGTAAGAATTCATCAGTTTGATCTTTTGTCAAGCCATTCTGTATAGTCAAATGAACGGTTTTTTTATATTCAACATTCGATGCCGGCGTTGATACTGGACGAGCAGCTATACCACTGTTTGTTGCTGATGTTGTCAAAGTACCTTTTTGCATTCGATTACCCGAGGATTTTCGCGATTCGACTAGTGTTGGTGCATTAAATTTTGTTGATGATCCTATTCTATTCATATTCTGTTCACTTGGATCGCTTAATAATCCACTTGAAGTATGTTCTAACATTGCCGGTGGTACGGTTGGCTTATCAGCTATAGCTAGTTGTTGACCTGTCGCTGGTTGAAGGTGATAGACGGATATATTCGAATCGTCTAGAATACTATCTTGTTTTATACGAAGATAAAAGGTGTATTTTACCTCTGATAAATGCTCGCATGCGGACGTTTGGATCATTTAAACTGGATTTTTTCGGTTGGATAGCAGGAGGGTCTAATGTTATATTAGCACCTTGTGGAATGATACCACGCTCTACTAAACTAATTATTCCTCGTTTGGCATCTTCAGCTGTGAGTGGAACTGGATAATCCTATGATGAATTATCCATAATAAGAGAGAAAAAGAAGAACGAAGACGGATAATTCTTACAATGGGATTACGACGGCTCTTATATGGTAAAATACCAACTGGTTCAGTTGTTTTTCCTGACAAAATATTTCGCGATGCCGGCTATATGAAATATATTGTAGTCGGCGGATGAGATTTCAAAGAGCATTACCGTTCGATGCTGTTGTTGCTTTTCAATAAGCGGTAGCTGTACACCGTAATTATCGTGCATGACTTCACGATTACGTTTATTAAATGGGTTTCGGATAATTTTTGATTGATACTCGTGACGAGCGACAGCGCCCGGTGCAACAGGCCTATGTTGTTGAGCACCAATAGATATGATTGGTATAGTTTCAGCGTATCTTTGTCGACTAGTAAAAGAAGCTTTGTTTTCTTTTCCTACAACTAAAAAAGAACTTTACTTACGTTCCACCTATTGCAGTATTCACATGTAATCTGCCTCGTGACACCGCGCCACTGTCGACCCGCTGTTGATATTGATCAGATATTGAATTATTTTGA